AAGCACAGTGCAGGAGGTATATGTAGGACGTGTAAGATGCTACCAATGGGGTGGGGAGAGTATAAAAACAGCAAAAGTGGAATACATGCACATACACATATTTTCTTGATATGTAAAATATCTTTAGAAGATTTTTTGATATACTGATACCACTGATTGCATCTAGGGAGAGGAACAGTGTGGCTAAAGGGTGAGAGAGTAACTTTTGGGTGTACATCGTCATATATTTTGAATTCTGACCCATGGACAAATAAGACCTACTCAAGAAATAAAATTGTTTAAAAAATGATGGCTTCAGAAACTGTAAAAACATGAGAAAAGACTTATGCAATAATGTTAATTTTAAAAAGCAGGAAACAAAACTATACAAATACAATCCCAACCATTTTTTAATGCATTAAATGACTGAGAGGAAATCTACCAAAACACTAAATGAAATTTTTATACCCAGGTAGCTGACTTGGTGTTCCTTTTATTTTCTTCTTTACCTTTTCTATAGTTTCCAAATTTCAGATAAGACACATGGATTAATTTCAAAACATAAAGATAATTTTAAAATGTATATATTTTATATGCATATAATAATAGCTCTTAGCTGTTAGGGAAAGCAAAAGAATGACAAGCAATATTATCTGTCACTTTCACCTAAGCTAAAAAATAAAAGATATTTAAAAAATCAAGTCCACAGATTTTTAAAGCCAATTCTCCAGGGGGGGAAAATAAAATAAAAATCACTGGTTTACAGCTCCAGGGCATACAGCTCTCATCCTGCTTTCTGTAGGGCTAACAATACAGAAGAAAACCAAGGCCTCACTCACATCAGTCTGGAGATGGGCGGGAGCTTCTGAATTGTCATTGATCCTCCGAACGCTGTCATAGTGCTCTCCATACCGATATGCAATGTGTAACTCCCTCCCATTGCTTTTATCTGTACCACGAATCTGCACACAAAAGAAAGGAAGGTACCAATGAGGATTTGGACAGTGTCAACTTCTGGAGAGAAAACACCTGCCTAGTCTGCCCAGGAAGCCCCGTCAACAGGCTCTACATAGACACTAATAGGGAATATGACTGGGATATGCCATAAGCAATTTCTGAATTATCTTCCTTCCACCCCTGTATGCTACAATGTGCTTACTTCATATGTAACTATATGGCAATAAATCCATATGAAAACACATTCAAAAACCAGGGGCAGATTTACAATGAGGTTAAATAAGTTCAAGTTTCAGGAGTTTTTAGTACCTCTTAGCAGATCCAGATTTGTTGAGCTTGAAGATTAAACAATTTGGGGCCCTCTTTGGGAAAAAGAATGCAAAATTACAAATATAAAATTGCTGGAACCTCTCCCAAGACCTTGAAAGGAAGCCATACAAATGAGGAACCTAACATACTCATTAGCTTTACGGTAAACCCACCCCTATTGTTAAAACAAAAATAGCATTTCCCATCAATTTCCACATAATGAGAAATATTATCAACAACAAACCTAAAATCTCCCACTTACATCAATTTCAAAACAAAATTATATATAGTAAAGCAGTACTACTGCACTGCACACCTTGGAAGCATCATGCACAAGGTATTCTATGTGAATGGTACCCCCAGAGAACAAGACAAGAATGGGGTTCCTTGGAGTCGTGCACTATAAAAGCCCTAGGGTCTGGTCTGTGTACATCCCCAAAAAACCACCATCTCCACAGAAATTCTAAAGAAATTCTGACTCTGTCCCTTAGAAAGCCCAGTACTGTCTCTGTTGAAATTCCAAAACATCAGCATCTCCTTGTTTTTGCTGAAAGACACAGGTAGTAAGATACTACCATTAATTTAAGCATTATCTGTGATCTTAAAACACAGCAAAAACCATGGAACAAACAGGAACCACACAGGTCTAGACATCAGAACAGTGGGAGTTTTCTCCAAGAGAATATCTAGGTCTACTGCAGACAGTCTAGTTTGGAAACATACAAAATAGAGATAGCACCATTTGTCTCCCAGGAAGAGTACTGGGAAAGGAAACAGTTTATTAGAGTCTTTGACATAATCCCTAAAGCATTTACATACTTAATAATAATTATTATTATAATAATACACATCATGAATAGAAAAAAATAACTGCAAAAATAGTCACCAAATTGTTAACTGTGATTTTCATGGGGAGATTACAAAGGACTTTCGCTTTCTACATTATAAACATCTAGATTGTTCACAGGAGCACACATTCCATTTGTAACCAGGAAAAAAATGTAGGTTTCAGTATCTCCATGTTCTAAGTATAAGCCAACTCATTATTAATGCTCTTATCCATGACAGCAGCAACCAACACAGTTTCAATTCTTAAATTTATAAGAAGCGTCACTGGGGTGGGGGCACATAGGGGAGATCCAAAAGAAATAAAATACATTTACTTAAAATATATATATATATATATTTCCAATGTTTAGCAATTTACAAGAGAGAACACTA